ATTTTTCAGCCACTTCTGATCAACAGGACTTGCAAATTCCATTTGCTTTCCTGGTTTGTTTTCAAACCCTGCAGGCAAGGAAAATACTTCACTTGATGTCAGATGATTGACAATTGAGTTGCCCCTGCCCACCTTTCAAAGTGACCCATGGCAAGGTTGTTGTTGTTGTTTAGTCGTTTAGTCGTGTCTGACTCTTCGTGACCCCCTGCACCAGAGCACGCCAGGCACTCCTGTCTTCCACTGCCTCCCGCAGTTTGGTCAAACTCATGCTGGTAGATTCGAGAACACTGTCCAACCATCTCGTCCTCTCTCGTCCCCTTCTCCTTGTGCCCTCCATCTTTCCCAACATCAGGGTCTCTTCCAGGAAGTCTTCTCTTCTCATGAGGTGGCCAAAGTATTGGAGCCTCAGCTTCAGGATCTGTCCTTCCAGTGAGCACTCAGGGCTGATTTCCTTCAGAATGGAGAGGTTTGATCTTCTTGCAGTCCACGGGACTCTCAAGAGTCTCCTCCAGCACCATAATTCAAAAGCATCAATTCTTCGGCAATCAGCCTTCTTTATGGTCAGCACTCACTTCCATACATCACTACTGGGAAAACCATAGCTTTAACTATACGGACCTTTGTCAGCAAGGTGCTGACAAAAAGAAGAATACTAATGACTATTTGCAGGAAAGCAAAGTAAGACTTCAAAAATATTTCAGAAGGCAATTGTGTTAAACCTTATTGCCAGATATTCAGTGCAGGAGATCTAACACACCAGCTTTCTGCATGCTCAGTTCTTAAACAAACCAACAAAGTTTTATTATTATTATTCCTTGTTTATATCATTCAGCTACTGATGCCACTTTCCCTCCACTGCTATTGTTGATCAGCACCTATGAAGATTGCGTAGTGAATGGGAGACTGCATTGAAAGCACTAACAGCAGCAGGTGGACTGCAAGGCTGACACCCTATGCACACTCACATAAGATAAAACCCCCTTAAACACAGAGGGACTCAGGGAGTAATCCTAACTGACCTCTAAGACCAATGAAACTTTACAGAGTCACAGGACCACCAAAATAGCTGCAGTTGCATGCCAAGGCCCTGTGCCCCGCAGTTCCCCAGTGATTAACGACACACAGACACAGGTATTTAGGATTATGGGCTAAAACAGGCCACAACTTTATTGGTTACAGATGTGAGTGGTTTGGCTTAGGCATTGGGTGAAACCAGACTATATCTTGACTCCGGTCCGCCTGCAGGAAGTCAAACTAAGGATAAACCACCAGAAGAGGGAGCCCTATGACTCACATCAAATAAGGGCACCGCGAGGGGTCCCTGTTCGGATCGTGGCATGGCCCTAACCCATGCCTGGGCTTTGGACAGGATCCACACCCCTGGATCCCTTTAACAGGATACCCTTTTCGAGGAGGGGCAAGCAGAGGCTTACAACCTCCCCTCCCTTAAACAAAGGCTTACCCAATGCCTAACCACTACTAGAGCAGTTCGCCGCCAATACTCTCACACCTGCAACCAACCTCTAATGTCCTCTACGATGTTTTTCAGCCAAATATCATTACCCATGTCAGACAGATGTACACCGTCGTCACGGAACAAGGCCGCCTGGTTGAAAGCGATGGTGGGATGCCAAATTACCCAACCATTCACAGCCAGGGCCCAGATGCCCGGCCACAATGCTGCCAACTACGAAAGGTAAGCAGTCATGTTGAACGTAAAAAGGACCATGACCTCTTGCCTTGTCCACATCCTAAAGCCTTACTAACTGAAACTCTTCCATTAAGATCTGTTAAGACTGTGAAAAATGTTGGTTTCCTTTTCATTTTTTAAAACTTTTATTTTTCACTTTTAATCCCATTTTCTGCCTTCTTATTAAAATGATTGACGTTGATCATTCCGCAGTCAGAGATGGGTGATGATTAAGCCTGAAAACCTTCACGGCCCTCGGTTTAATTTGGATTTTCTTTCTCTCTTTGCAAATCCTGTCTAGCAGGATCGTTTGCTACACACATCAAAATGCTGGAAATGCAACGTATGACAGGTCTGAATGTCAGGGCTGTTTTTGTCTTTGCTTAGAAGTGTAAACAACTCTAATCTTCTTCTAAAGCAGGTAGGAGCCTGTGACTAATCAGGCAGGATTGAAATGTCAGAGTAAACATTTCTGCTTATGCTCTGCCGGCGCACTTTGTGGAACATCACCGTGCCTCTTCCTTTTAGTGATCTAGAATTTAACAAGGCATCATTGTGTTCAATACTTTGGATTTATTACTTGAAATCTTACTACTGATCCAGTCCCACTTAGCATGTCATATGATTCATACTAATGAAGCAGCAGCTAGTTATTGTAGCTAGTATTATATAGCAGCATTGTAGCAGAAATGCTGCAAAGTACATGAATTTTGATTCTTGCAGAGCTGACATAGTATAGTGATCAAGAGCATTTATTTATTTTTATTTAATAAATTGATATACCACCCTCCATCTGAAGATCACAGGGGACTTTTCAATGTAAGAATACAAAAAGTAAATACACAACATAACAGAAATACAGACAGAAAAAAAATAGGCCCCCTTCAACACGAGGGTGAGCTTTATTTACTATTAGCCATGTGCTAAACCTGCTGGGGGGAGGGTTAAGGGTTGCATAAAATGCTGGTGCATATACATGTGATCAATGTGTTCAAGGGGGAAATAGTTTATTTTTTTACCTTTGATTTTTGTTCTTAAGGTTGTGTTCATTTCACCTTCCATCTGTTTGAATTTCATTTACTCATCAAACTCCAAAAGAACCTGTTTTTAGTCTATGTTCAAGTAACTGTATGCATCCCTCGCTAGAGAAATTCAGGGAAATGTGAATTTCAAAAGACGCCTATGTTTTGGTTTGTGTATTGTTTCAGAAACTGCAAATTGGTTAGATTTGCCTTTAAATGTAAAAGGAATCAAAATTCTCTTCCATCGCTAGAATCAAGTTGCTTAGCATTTTCATTGTACTGGGAATAAGTGCTGGAACCTATCAGTAACCTGTAAATCAGAAGATAGTTGGACTACAACTCCCATTAGCATCAGCCATAATTGTTGGGATGTTTTTGCCTCTGCGCATGGGTCTGGGAATGTTCTGATCAGTTCACATTGAGTTCAGTACCCTGACCTGTTCTTAACGCATTGTTGACCACATCTACGGAACGCGATTGTTATGTTCTTTCATGTCATGCAAAATCAATCATTAGTAATAGTTTAAGTCTTGATACTCAATCACTAGTTAATAGTTTAATAAGGAGGTTTCACGCCTGTCCAATTCTGTGTTCCCTTTCCCACCCTTTAATCTATTGATGATTAATACCTATATTCAACCCTTGCATTGTATTCATGTTAACCAATCAGCAACAAGCACATATGTGGAAATGCTGTAATATTCAATAAAAGGGACTCTCCGAGACATGCTCAAGAGATGCCTCCCGTATGACACCTTGCCATTCGTCTGTCGCTTATTTCAACCCAACACATAATGGCCAATTTTCAGGATTGATGGGAGTTGTAGGCCCACAACATCTGGAGGGTACCACATCGCCTACCCCTACTGTAAAAGGACACCAGAAGAAGGAATCTGAAAACTGGCAAACATCACAGTTTTGAAAAATAATGTTAGAAATTCCCCAAGTTTAACCCAAAGACAAATGGAATGGAAGGTGGAAAAGGTGAAGTTCACTCATCACTCGTTGCCATGAGAGCTGAGTGCACCATGCATTAACTTTATCCATCCTCAAGCCACACAAATGGGCCAGTTCATGGGGGCGGGTTAATTTACAATGTGATGAATCTCGCTTACGTGGTCAGCTGTGTTTTTCAGTACACCTGAGAGAGTGTCGATTTGGCATACCCTCAGGGAACGTAACATATGGACCAACTATCAATTCAACATCTTTCAGCTATTCCTTCCCTAGGCAGAATTGCTTCCAGGCAGACTTTGACGCTGACAATCTGTTTTTACAAGTTGATGCACATCCAAAGTTACTAGTAATTTTTCAATTTTGGCTGTCATTTTGAGTGTGTGCATCGACCAGAATACTGCATCTTATCTGTCCTTCCACTAAAGCTATTTATTACTTCTCCTTTATTGTCACACTCTTTCAAAGACAAGCGAAACAGCGGCAACCTGAAGACACTTTGGGCTGAAACCTCTGCCCACTTACCTGGGAGTAAGCCTTTTGGAACTCACTGAGATTTACTTCTCGGTAGATATGGCCTGGCCTGGATAATTAGGCTCTGCAGCTTAGATAATTTGGATTGTCCAACTGCAGGAGTAGTTTAATGTTACTGGGAACTTATGGATGAAAATTCATTATTGCGGTCTGGGAGAATTTTTTTTTTTTAAAAAAGAAAACAAAGAAAGTAAAGAAAATGCAGATTCATTTCTACATGGGGTATCACTTTTTGGAGACAGATATTTCAAGTCTGGCATTCTGTAAACAGCTGCCGAGATTTGGCTGAGCTGATATTTATATTGTGGTGACTTGACTTAGTTTTATTTCTTTATACTTGATTTCATTTTGAAGGGTTCCCCACACACACACTTCTAGATATTTCAGATAGATAGATTAGGACTAATTCTTTCTTGATTTGCTTTATCTCACGTCATATAGATAAGCAGGGCAGTGGGTGTACATTTGTACCCATCACAGATCCAACACCAGCAGCTGAAGGATCGCTGTGAGGAATACTCAATCCACCCAGATCTTGGTAGTGGGAGAGGAAGCCTCACCTGACTATGGATCTTGTTCCTTATTGAAACTTCAAATCTATAAAACATCTCCATCCCTGAAAAGGATACATGGCCCACAGTTTATGAATTACTCACCTAAAGAGGCATGCCAAGATGGATATATTTCTGTCTGATGAAATATCAGATGAGTTTTGAAGGAATTAAAAATAGGATCTCAGTAAGACTAACGAAAAGGATTGGTGTGAACTCTACCACAGATGTCTAGATCTGTTGTGCATGTTCAATTGATATGGCTCAGTCTGTAGAGCATGAGACTCTTAATCTTATGGTCATGGGTTTGAGCCCCATGTTGGGTGAAAGATTCGCAGGGGGTTGAACTAGATGATTCTTGTGGTCCCTTCCAACTCTACAATTATATGATTCTTTGATTCTATTCTGTCCTTTTCTGGGCTTAGGAACCTGCCAGGAGGCAGCAAGTGGAATTTGCGGCTTGATCCCTCATGCGGTGAGGCACAGAAATGCAGGTAGTGGCATCTCTAAGAGATTCCCTCAAGGCCTTGTATTGACTACCAACTTAGGCTGGCTACTGGATCCTCTTAGACAGGAAAGAGTATAAGAAATCTTGTTTGAGCCCATTCCTGCTACAGCAACAGGGGCTTCCTGAGCTATAGCATATTGCTGTACAGTGGTACCTCGAGTTACAGACGCTTCAGGTTATGCGTTTTTGGGTTGCACACTGCGCCGAACCTGGGTGTACTGGAACAGGTTACTTCCAGGTTTTGGCACTCATGCATGCATAGAAGCGCTAAATCGCGCTTTGCGCATGTGCAGAAGCGCCAAATTGCGACCCGCGACTACGCAGACGTGCCGCTGTGGGTTGCAAATGCTGTGGGCTGCGAACGTGCCTCCTGCACGGATCATGTTCACAACCTGAGGTTCCACTGTATTCTTTCATTGTCCTTTGGTCTTGACTTCTAGCATAATCTTTGTTCCTGCCTTCAAGGAGTGAGCCTAGATCTGGCATTTTGGCTCATCCCAGACTCCTGCCCACAGACCAGCTCTGTGAGTGCCATACCCAACTGCAAACCAAACCCCAAACCACAGTCTTCATTTGAAGTACCTTCTGTGTTTCCATTATTTATGCCAGGTCAAGCAACTTCTGGGTGAAATGCCACCACAGCTCTGCTTTTCAGCTGACTGAAGCACCGAGAGAGAAAGAGAGAGAGAGATATCAGAAGATGGCATAGAGTGAAGGTTGTACAAAAGTGGCGTAGAGTATGGATCTTCTAGCCAGAGGCACCTTCAAACACAAATTGACTTTCCTCTCTGTGTTTGAAAGAAATGGGAATGCGCATGAGGATCTTTCAAGCTGAGCTAAGGGGCTGAGACAATCATTTCTCCATTTCCCTCTGGGTGCAAAATCTACCCAAATGGCATGACATTGTATCTCAGAGTCAGATGGAGTGATGTTCATAAAAGCAAGAGGTTGAAGGTTGAGGAATGGCAAGGGGGCCGTGATGTACAACTTGAAAGTACTTTGCCTCTTAGAAAGTCACTCAGGAGCAGAGTTGGGGTATTTGAACATATCTGATCAATTTTGAAATGTCACCTCTCTGTTCAGGCTTCATTCTTTCTTTTTCAGCTGTGCGGTTTAAGTGCACTTGAAATGGGGTGATGTATGGAATAAGGTTAGGACAGAGCACATGTAACTGGTAGAAGCAAAAAGGTATTGTAACCTCTGGTGCATTAGTCTGAAGAAGGGCACAACTAAAACAACTTATCCAATGGAAGGACATCCGCAGTGGTACAAAAAAAACACACCAAAAAACCGCACACACCACAACAACTATCCCTTTATCAACAATTTTGACAATGTGTGTTGAAAGCTTTTTCTATCCATTTATTCCCCTGCCACCCATTTGCCCTCAGTGGAACTGTTGCATATTCAAATATGGCTACAAGGGTTCATGGTAGGATCTCATGAACTACAGGACCCCTGGCTCTGGCCGTGATTGTCCATGAGACTAAAATCAGGTAGAATGATGGTTCGTTGAGCAGAGGGGAGCATATTACACCCTGGTTGGGTCTTGCTGCTCCACACCACAGAGCAGTGGAGCTATGGATGCAATGGTGGCTAAGGCATTCCACCAAGCCCTGTTGCTGCTGGCCAGCAGTTTGCTAGGCAACTTAAAGTCTCCTGTGAATGAGCCAGCAGAAAGGAAGTCTCTTTTGTAGGGGATTAAAAAAAATAAATACGAGAAATTGGAGGACAGGTGTTTGGCACAATGCTAACTGGGCCTATTAGCCTTTTAAGAACATCAGAGGAGCCTGCTGGATCAGGCCAATGGTCCATATAGTGCACATCCTGTTCTCACAGTGGCCAATTAGATCCTTATCAGAAACCTACAAGCATGAAAACACTCTCCCATCCTGTAGTTTCCAGCAAGTGGTACCCAGAGGCATTACTGCCTCCAACTGTGGATGCAGAGCATTACTATCATGTCTAGTAGCCATTGTGAACCTCATCCTCCAATGATGATGATGATGATGATGATGATGATGTTATTTATACACCGCCCATCTGGCCAGGCTACTCCAGCCACTCTGGGCATCTGCCAGCACATATAAAAACATAATAAAACACCAAGCTTTTAAAACATCCTGATACAGGGCTGTCTTTAGGTGTCTTCTAAAAGTTGTGTAATTCTTTATCTCCTTGACATCTGATGGGAGGGCATTCCACGGGGAGGATGCCACTACCAAGAAGGCCCGCTGCCTGGTTCCCTGTAACTTTATTTCTTGCAGAGAGGGAAACACCAGAAGGCCCTCAGTGCTGGATCTCAGTGTCCAGGCTAGACGATAGGGGTGAAGACACTCCTTCAGGTATACAGAGTCAAGGCCATTGAGAGCTTTAAAGGTCAGCACTAACACTTTGAATTGTGCTTTGAAATATACCAGGAGCTGGTGATGATCCTTTAGAACCAGTGTTATATGGTCCCGACGGCCACTCCCAGTCACTAGTCTAGCTGCCACATTCTGGATTAGTTGTAGTTTCCAGGTGACCTTCAAAGGTAGCCCCACGTAGAGCGCATTGCAGTAGTCCAAGCAGGAGGTAACCAGAGCATGTGCTACTCTGGCAAGGCAGTGCGTGGGCAGGTAGGGTCTCATCTGGCTAATCTTTGTCTAATCTTATTTTAAAGCCATCCAGGTTGGTGGCCATTGCTACTTCCTATAAGAGTGAGTTTGCTAGTCTACCTATGTGCTCTGTGAAGAAGTACTTTCTTTTATCTGTCTTCTTGGTCTGATCCAGCGGGGCTTTGTCTTATACCCATCACTTTCACTTGGGAATGTATTGGCATTCAGCACAGTCCTTGATGCAAGAGGGTTGCCAGTGATTATCTGCAACCTCCAAGCCTTCTTGTGCTGCCACAATCCTAAATTAGCAATTTCCCAGTCATGTGTGCACATTTGATTACCCCTTCCTATGCAACATCTGTTCATTTGTCATTCTGGCTTCAGATTTGATTGATTTCAACTAATTTTCCTCCCTAATCCCATCAAGAAAGTGAGTTCATTTCATTCTAACCTCATAGGCATTTGCAATCATTCCCAGCATCCTATTAGCTGGGAATTCAGTGAAAATACCTATCATTGACCCCCTGTTTGAAGACTCTCCTGAGATCCCCTCCTTTGAAATCCTAGAAAGATTAATCATTGCTTTCCATATTTGGGCCTGTTTATTTTTAAAGTCAATTTTAGGTCCATTGTAAAGTAGTTTCATCTAAAGCGGGGAGAAAAATCATTGGGAAATTAATCTAGTGTTTTGCAATTAACCTCTAAATACTCAAGAAGAGTTTTAAGCAAGATCTATCATTGCTGAACAATGATTTATTGGTGTAGGATCGTCAGATTTGGAAAAAAAGAAAGGTCTTCTGTAGGACTGAGATGCAGAATGTATATAAAGTTTCTGCATTTCCTATTTTTTAAAGAAAAATATACCTAAAAAGTTTCAGTCATATATGCTATGACATATCACAGTCACAATCTGGGCGACCTTTGGCGTATCCTATAGCTAAAACTTAATGTTTAATTCATACTTCTTGTCTGTGTATACAGAAGTTCACCTGTTGCAATGTTTGGAAAATATGTACCATACCAGATTGGCAAAACCATCACAAATTATACGACCCTATGCATGTGTTCAAGAGAAAACATGAGGGCTCAAATTGGGGAGTGGTTGTACACACTACCCCCAATTTCTGCCGGTGTACTGGGTGTGCATGCTCAAGGTGGTAAGGTCTGAGTGGGGCTTGTATGTGTGTTCAGCTGAACATATAAACTTACCTTCATGACTGTGAGTTCTCATAGTGCAGGGTTCTCTATAATGGCAACGTTTGCAATGCTGTTCAGCTGAACCGCTTTACCAGCCCAATTCAGATCTTTCCACTTACCGTAAGTCCCAGTGAGTTCAGTGGGGCTTACTCCCAGGTACAGGGACATAGGACTGCAGTCTTACTGCCGAGTTTTCAAATGTCCTCTATTGGGGCTTCAAACACATGAAGGCAAAAACGCCTACTTTCCTTGCTGCCAAAGTTAAATGAAAATGAAAGCTAGTGCCAAAAGGAGGCTGATATAAGTCAGATTAACCACGGACTAAAAAAGAGATCTGGCTGTGTGAATGAGCAAATGACAGCTTTGCTGCCTGTTAAAACTGCCGCTTGGAGTGAACGTGTCCAGTGCTTGCTTGCTCACTCCCTTTCCTTAGCGTAAGCCCTTGAACAAGCTTTTGAATACATGAATAAAACTGCAGAGCCTGTACCTCCTGCATCTCCCCAGTGGTCTTCAAAGCCCAAGGGCATCTCATAGCATCAGAGACCACCTGGTGAGACCCTTACTCGCTCAGGGCCCTTCCCATCATTAGATTCCCTCTGTTTCTGTCTTTTATGTCATACTACAACTTGCATTTCAATTTCAAAGGGTCCTACCTAAATCCACACTTCCTTCTCCCACATCTACTTCCACCCCATCTTTCCTTGCCATCATCGAGACTAACCTCAACTAAGCTGGAGCTGGTTGAGAAAGAACCGCTAGACATGTTGCAGCAGTAGGGTGAAGAAGGAAGATCTCAAATAAAGAAGTCCTCCTGGACTCCATTCATCAGCCAGTAGGGTTGTTTACAGTTGAACACTTCCTAAGCATAGATATGGTATTGTAGCTAAGTAACAGGGAAGAGACATCACCTTGCCAACAAAGGTCCGTATAGTAAAAGCTATGGTTTTCCCAGTAGTGATGTATGGAAGTGAGAGCTGGACCATAAAGAAGGCTGATCGCCGAAGAATTGATGCTTTTGAATTATGGT